TTTTCGAAAGTATCTTTCGAAAAAGCCTCTTTCGAAAGAGGCTTGCAGTCTAGACATAGCCTTGGAGACTAACAAAAACATATTGGTTACCTTTTAAGGGTACATCTACATAGCACCCTTAGCTCAAAATAAGCTATGCAATTTACACCACGCAAATTGCGTAGCTTATTTCAAGTGTATTTCTAAATAGCTTATTTCATAATTTGGCGCTGTTTACACAGTGCCAAATTTCAAAATAACTTGCTTTTCCAAAATGCCCCTTAGCCCTCATGGAAAGAGGGTTATTGGTATATCAGAATTAGCTGCCCGTTATTCCAAAATCTATTTTGAATTAACAGGCTGCTACAATAGACACGGAATAATTATTTTGGGATACTTCTGGTAACCCAAAATAGCTCCGCAGTGTAGATGTACCCTAAAATGCCAGCCTAAAGGACTGCTTGTTGTTCTAGTAGCAGAGTATTTTTTCATTCTGCAGGTTGTTTGCTTTTCTGTTGTGAATTTTCTATGAAATTTTCTAGCCACACATAATGTAATATGTCAATAAAAATAAAGTTAAGGTGGGTTTACTATCTTTTGTTGGATCAACTCATAGTATCTTTTTACATTTCCCAGACCTGAAAAACAGCTCTTTAGAAGTTTGTCTCACTCATCAACAGAAGTTGGTCCAATAAAAAAATATTACTTCATGCACCTTGTCTCTGAAATATCTTGAGACCAACACAGTTACACAGCTCTGCATATAATAAAAATAATGCAGGGAGTGCCACTATCACTGTGGAATATACAAAGCATCAGATTTTAAGAATTCCTTGCTTTGTATATTTGGTGTATACCTAAAACATTGAAAAAAGTAGTAGTAGTGCCCTTTTAGGTTAGAGAAAATATGACTTCATGTTCAGGTATGGGACTGCGTAATCAAGGGATATTTTCTTTTGTTTTGTTTCCAGGAACATTCAGATGATTATCGCACTTATTCAGTTCAAACTGCAAGTGGAACATACATCCTAAAATTAAAGAAAAATAAGTAGGCTATGCAATATTCTAAGATACGTTTTAATTTTGGGTTTTACTTAATAGAGACCACACCGAAATGTTACTATGTAATGAAAAAAAGGTGGTTATAAATATTCTATAAAGGAGCTGGCTTGAAAACAGATAAAAGAAAATGTTACTGTATTTAATTTTTTAAAAATTCGGATGAAATTTTCACTTAGCACCGCTGTAATATAAGAAACAGCACACCAAAATGCATATTGTTAATGAAGATTTATTACAGGAAAAAAACCTCACTGAAAAATAAATCAGTGCAAAATTAGATTTCTGCTACCTATTTTTGTTAATTGATGTGGAATAATTCATCTGATTTTGTTTGTATCCATCTCCAAAAGTGTATAGTCCAGCCACTTGTCCAAAAACTGAACTGTATACTGTAGTCCAGCCACTTGTCCAAAAACTGAAATAATGCATCAAGCTAAAAAACAATACGTATGTGGACTCTTGTAAAAATATTTTAAAAGTAAATTACTCAAAATGATTATGCTGATTTTTTTCTAAAAAACATTTCACACTGTGTCCTTCTACAGTATTTAATAGCAATTTTAGCATCAAAGTGCTACTCTCAGAATGTATTGCTGAATATACTACTTGATGTATATATTGTCAGAGACCCTTGAAACAACAGCAATTTATTTCTGTTTTCAGAAAGATTATTAGTGAAGATTTTGTACTATATACATATAGCAAAAATGGGAAATTGGAGGCTACCCATTCAAAAATCAAGGTACTGTGCTTATCAATTTTTATGTCAAACTGTTTCATTAGCACAAGGGAGCCAAATGTAATGACACCAAATGCTGTCATAGGATGCATATCGATTTAAATACATTTTTATACAATAAAACTTATACACAACCATTAATGCTGGATGCATGTATATCTTTCCTGATATAGGCATAAACAGTCACTTGTGTTCACAACAATGAATTAAGGCTCTCATAAACCAATTAGAGAATAATAGAAGGTTGTGTTCTTGAGCACTCCTCCTTTAACACAATATTTGTATGCCATTATTATTGATAAGTATAAAATAAGCAAGGTTGCCTTGCTGTAATCTTAACTCTTAAGTATGATTAACTTGTTGCTATTTATGATGACAGTGTCTGCTGTAACCCCTGCTTTCAGAAATATGTGTAAAAAGGATGCTCTGGAAACTTAATGTAAAGATTGAAACTAGGTTATTTGACTATACAGCCATTGTATAAAATACTTTTTTGGATCAAGATGCAAATATCAAAGTTACCCAGTTTTGAAGCCCTGTTTTAGAAAAACACTTAAGCTCATGCTTAAGCTTTGTTTCCTACTCAGGAAAGCACCTACATAGGTAATCAACTTTGTTTCAGAAAAACACTTAAGCTCATGCTTAAGTTTTGTTTCCTGCTCAGGAAAGCACCTACATAGGTAATCAACTTAAATCATGAGCTTTCAGTGGAACTTAAGTGTATACTTAAATATGCTTCCTGAACAGGATGTTTTTTCCCATGCAGGCTTTTAAAAAAAGGGCTTACGTGACAAAGAACAGGATGGACAGCATAGTCCCATTGGGTTTGTCAGAGTCTGGGAATGGGTTGAATTGGGAGTTTCCTCTCACTTGTAAAGGAGGGGACATTTTTTGCCAATTATTTTACCAATGAAAGGCCAAAATCTGCTGTGCTTAGTCATAGTAGTAATCCTATGAAAGCAAATGGAGACAACTTGTAGAGTTCTGAGTAAAGCTGTTAAAATCTGGCTCTAATAAATAAAATAATAGGCAAATGAATAGTCTGGGTCTTTCACTTGAATAAAAATTACTATAAGTAATTAATGATGTGGTTTAATTGTGTTTCAGACATACTGTTATTATCATGGAGTTGTTGAAGGAGTTGCTGATTCTATGCTTGCTCTTAGTACATGTGAAGGCCTTAGGTATTATTTTTTGCTTTTCACTTTTCAATGTACCATTGACTGATTACCAAAAAAAATTGTTGTTCAGAATCTCCATTTTTTCTGCATAAGAATAAATGAATGAATCCAAGAGTGGTCAAGTGTAACCCTACACAATTTCGTAATGCTGTTTTTCAGGGACTAGGGTGCGGATTTCCAAAATGCTGAGCATTGACTTAATTTCCCTCCCATTGATTTCTGTGGTGAGTGGTTGTAGAGTTAGGGTAATACCAAATACTTCTGAAAATTCCACCTTGATGTTCTACTGTGCAATACTGCACCTTGTGCTAAGCACCTTGATGGGTTTAGATCAGTGTTTTCTCTAAGCTATGTGGCAGTACAGCTTCACAGGTGATTAATCAGCCCTGCCCAGTCAGTCAGCTCTGTGCACCTGAGCCTCTGACTGAGTGGTGCTAATTAATCACTTGTGAAGCTGTGCTGCCCCACAGCTTAGAGGGAACACTGGTTTAGGTAAAGCACAGCAAGTTGGGACATGTAGCCACCATAGGTAGAGCTACATTTCCCTATTGGCTGCAACCTGTTCCATCACACAAACAAAACAGATACAAATTCCTAATCCAGTTCTCAC